TGTTCGAATAAATGAAGTAGGTCTGTGATTTCGGATCGAGGCGATCCACAACAACTGACGCAGATTGATCTTCCTTGAACTCGGGCAGGTCGCTCGGACCCAACACTATCCAGCCCAATGGGGTTCTAACAACACATGAATCACTAGCACTTCAACACCTCTGATCTAAAGCCAGTGCAGATATGGGTTATCACTTTCAATCAAAAGCTCTATCTTGCCCTTCGATTCTGGAAAGCGTAAGTGGAATAAGTAAGGCCATCCATAGAAATCATTTCTTCTTGTGCCTGTGTCAAGTGTTTTAGCCAGACGGCCGACTGACCTGACGGAGTCTAACCGGACTGCCTCACCACCATCTATCGATTGAACAGTTACACTAACCGACTGCGACTTTACCTGGCATCGACCAGCGACGGTACATAAGTTCAGTGTCCTCATGGAACCTTGCACTCCGATATATTGAAGCAAGTGGAAATCGACTAATGAAGTGTCTGACCCGTTATCGATCAAGACTAGCGTCCAAACAGTGCCAGCAGGATCAGAGACTAGAACGAGTAATACATCAACTGAAACAGTAGGCTTTTCGTCATAAGTTAGATAATTCGGTATTCACTATCCCGGGGTTATTCTTACACTGATCAGGATGCAGCAATACTAATGAAGTAGCCGACACTTAGTTAATCCACAATACTTTATTGACCGACAGCTTTGTAAGACATGGTTCGGTTTGAGACACAGTTGGCACAATCGGTAAACACAACAGAATTCCAGATGCTCGTGGTAGTTAGGTTTTTGGAATTCCTGATAATGATCTAACTAATGATGTCATTAACAGGAAGTGCTTTTTAGGTGAGACGGTTCTACGGATGTAACAGCTTTCGAGTAAGCGGCACGACCTCGGGGATTATAGCCGTTACTTCTCTCCGTTTTGGCAGTTGATCCGAAGACAAGCATCGACGACGTCGGGTATTTCCTCCACGAACTCCATCAAATAAATAAAATTTGACTCCCCTTCTGTCCGAATGACCCTATCGGCACGACCGGCCCATTTGCACTGCATATAATTATGCAGCCGTCGAACTATAGCAATAATGGTTCGCAACGCGTTCAGATCGGTTTCGTATCTCAACTGCTTCAGAGTTAAGTAACAGAACCGCAGTTCCACAGCTAAACAAGAAAGGGCTACAAAATCATTTGGCGGTGGAGCACTGAGGTGGGTCCTCGCTATCAAATGAGTTGGTCCGAAACGCCTGCGCAAATTACTTATTGCTTCTTCAAAACCTACAACAAGTTCAAGAATCAAACAGATTTCAATGGGTTCTTTGGCATCACCATAGCATTGTTGTATCAGATGTGATAGGCGGATCATCGGATCGGAAGTTGTTCGGGTCACGCTGTTTTCAAAGCATCGTCTAAAAATCCAATATCGAGATGGATCACCATTAAATGTTATCAACTCTCGCTTAGGGAGACAGGATGTCATGTTTGGAATGAAGCAGTTGGATTTCGGTTCAATAAAACAGTTAATGATATTATGTACATCTAAATGGAGGTATGTTCCGCGATTCTGAACCTCCGAATCTGAGACGGCCAACGGTTCACCCAAGCGCGCAACCGACGACAGGCGCCGAGACTAAGTTATCGGCTTAAGAGATGTTGGTCCAAGAACAACATCAGAAGAAGACCACAAACCTCGTACGATAAAGAGCCTCTCCGTTTACTAATCGGCTGATCCAACATAATATCGTGCCCAAAACAATCACCATCTTTATGGCGTTTACCCTGCGGAGGAATCTAAGTCAGAGCTAACTCTAGAATTTTAATCTCGGTCTCAGCAATCTGTAATTGCACAGCATCAGTAATATCAACAGCATGAGAGCAGTGCTCAGCATCAAAAGCAGAAACAATTATTACACCTATTGTAATGAGTAAAGACTATACGAAGCCAAGATTAGGTAGTCACATCTGATAAAACAAGAAACTGTAGGCTAGTAAACCTTTACTATACGCATGAACTGGGCAAAGAACTTACAACATAAATTCCTGCTAACATGGTTCTATAATACAAATTAAATACAGTAATCAGCTTACGAATAGCTTTGCAATCGTAATAGGAAAGAGTAGAAACAGAAAGATGTGCAGCGGCGTGGCAAAAAGGTACAGCGTAACAGTTTGCTAATCGGCAAACTCTCAATGATGAACTGTTTGGCTTTGAGGTATAAAGGATATTTCGGTAATGCAAACTGAAAACGTAAATTGTCTCATAATGCGTGTCAGAAGAAAACGTATAAATTTCTGTAAGGATATAAGTGAATGCTTTGGGAAAATGGACATTATGTCCTCAATGTGTAAACCGGTTTGGCTTAATATTCAAAGTTCTCTTTGGACTTATATACACCATGGTTTTCTTTTGGCTGACGTCAAAACTCACTGTTGTACTTTCCCACGGCTTGCAGTCTAAGTTGTTAGGGAATGTGTATCGATTCCCCAGCGATGTTTATCGCTTTAGCAGAGAGAATTTGTGAAGAAAACGCAACCCTTCTCACGTACATTTCTTTACACAATGAATGTTTAATGTCTGCTTCCAGTCTAGATGGATTTCCAATCATTATGTCGACACACAGAAGCGGTCAAGGTGACCCGGTGCCGTACTATCAGCCAATATATCATATCTCATCCGCTACTGATGCCTTAAAATAATCGTCAAGAAACGCGTTACTCAATTTCTAAAAGACTAAATCTACTCAACTGTGCACAACGCGCCTTCCTGTCACACGTCAATTACAACTACTTGATCCATGATCAATATTTGCAGCAACAATCAACGGTGGCTTGGCCATCATTATCAAAAATCCCTTAACATTTGCAATAAGCGTTCGCTTGCGTAGCGCACAAATAAGTATTGGCTGTACTTGAGTCCTATTGGAGGAACAATCCGCTACTGAGCTGCTTCAAGCCATAACTGATCATCTGAACACAAAGAGCACAGATAGGTCAACCATGTTCTACTCCAAGTAATGATACAAGTAGTATCCTTCATGGAAGTGCCTTCAGTACATAGCTTTTCTTCAAATCAAAATATGCGTGACAGGCGCAACAGTTTTTCTATGCGGACGATAACAAAACAGTGTGCTCACTTCCATTTGACCAACAGAAACTTTGCATAAAATGAAACGCGATGATCCACCATCCCTAAACAAATGGAGTAGAAGCATGTATATGAAGTTTTCAGCAGATCAGTCTTCTATACTCTGCCACAGACGCAATATACGAGTAGGATTCATCACACTTACTGGTAAGCCATCTCAACCACGTACTCTTTTCGACACACATCAAATCTAAAGTAACGCAAGCGAAACTACTAAGATTCCACATAACAAACTCACGTTTATTATCCCAAATGCGAAGTGAATCATTCAAACTCACGGAGTCACCCACACTAGATTACAACACGATCATACAGTCACCTATTCAAGACAGATAGAATTGCTGTAGAATATGTCTAGCGCTCGTTTGACAAAAGAGCCATACAACACTTATCATCGCCTGCCTACGAAATACGATGCTTTTACCTCTAGCTTCATTCACTCTGGATCCAAAAACTGAATATTTACTTTAATCTTCTGTACAACGCCAAGTCAGTCAGTTCGACTGTCCTTTTACTAAGTTGTTCAAACTGTCCCACTCGAAATTTGAAGTGTCTACTGCTCTCAAAGAAAAACAAGCAAAATTTCCTTTTAAAATTATGCCTGGTGATACACCCCATTTAGCGGTTAATTACCGCTGCAATTAACAACCAGCGAGAGGTTATGTGTATGATTTAGAGATTTAAATTTATATATCAATTGTGATCAACCTATTCGGCGTTCAGCCATCGGTCTGTGCACTTAGGGAATCTGGCCCGGAAAACATATGACAAAACTAGCATCCTACTAATATGTTACTTATTACACATTTGACAAGTTAATGCACTACGGACCTTTTTGTATCCAAAGTTAGTAAACGGAATGCCGATGAAACTCCATACGTATGATTGTTTTAATGAAGGAAACAATCACGCATGTCTGAAAACGTGTTACTTATTTAGACCAAACTAAACATCTTACCCAACAGATTCTTGAGCATATTGAATAATGCGGGGTGCTAGCAGTTATTTCTAACGCATCTCTCCTTTTTCTACCGCTGATAACAAACCGTAAAGTTGAAACAAGACCACAAAGATAGCAAGCAAACCGATGGTAGCAAAAAGGATGTAGATACCAGGTTAGTTAACGTAATGCACCTTGCCATATAGTAGTTTGTAGGGGCCACAGGATGCTTTCTTAAAGAAGAATGCGGTGACAGTTGCATTCAGCTTGCAAATGATTAGCATGGTAAATCCATATTATTTTGTTAGTGACAGTTTATCTTTGACATGCGTTTTTGGTGATAAACTCAATCGCGTGTTTAAGATACCGCCCGTTTTCTTCATGGTAATCAACCGCTACCTAATTTTCTTCCACTGGTTTGCTTTATAGATTACCGTTTGTTGATTTAGCAAAAGAATTCAATCAACATACATGAGAGAGAGACAGCGCATGAGAATATGGCAACTGTTGGTGTACACCATCCACCTGATTTGGTGTAGTTTACAGACATAAAATTTCGTTTAACTCACATTTCATATAGACTATGATCGTTACTTTTAGTTGTCGGCTTTCATGCAGAATACTTGCATATTTGGACGGACAAATGTTTGTGATGACACTGTATATAGATATGATGTACTACAAATCTGGCGAGACTTCGTACGCAGATAAAACTTACGGGGAACATATAATTGACAAAAACAATTTAAGTTATCAGCTTTGTCAATGCATTCCCTGGTGGGCACGATGGGATGTATGGCAAAGTTTACAATGCGCATGATCTAGCTAAACTCGTGAACATATATTTTCTCTGTCAAACATAGTTATCAAAGCACAATGTCTTTATGGTTCCTATTTTTCTTTTCCAATCTACAGATGACTTACCTGAATGGAAGCAAACCGGTTGCAGCGCCCTGTGATAGAAAAGGTCGCTGGCGGAAATTCATCCATGCTCAGTATTTAAATTGTGCCACCTTTGAGCCATCCACCGAATTACGTGCCAGCACAACCAATATTGAAATGTACATCTATCTAAACGAAATGTCAGATTACGCCCTCTGTCCGGATTGCTTTCACGGTGAGGTCAAATCACAACTATCAGGCGCATTAATTGTTATCGACTCAGCGGATCATTTACCAAATGTTAATGATAAAAGTATAAACTTGAAGCCTGGTTCTCTGACAGAGATTCGATTGTCCATTGTGGAAAATATACAAAAACTACCACCGTACGGACGTTGTTCCTTAGATTTGCCTGAGAACTTGCAATTATATGGGACTCAATACGCTTACTCCGAATATGCATGCCGAGAGGCCACGATCCAAAATGATATCATGGAAAAATGTGGATGCTACTCAATGGAATATCCCTATAACGAGGACAGCGGTTTTGAACCTTGTAGCAGTCTTCCACGATTTGTTAACACTTCCGACTGTGGTTCATATCACTTGATGGAATTTCTAAGGGGAAATATGACATTACGAGCACAAGATGGATTATGTATTAATGATTTGAAATTATTCACGAAACGTATGTTATGCAAGCGATCAGTCACGGAAAACTATGTTCACGGAGCGTTACCTTCTTGCACTATGCCTTGTGCCTTTTATTCTTACGAAGCAGAACAATCCACATCTTCCTGGCCCACCAAAAGATGGCAATTAACTTGGTTGAATTCTTCTTACAACCGTCGTCTGGGAATTTTTGATGGTCCGAAATTTGACACATATCGTGAAGCACAGAGTTTGCTCACTCTGGGTAATGAAACTGATGCAGCACGAATTTTGGAACAAGCTAATATTTTGGAACAAAACCTATTGGCTGTGTTAATAAATCGACCCAACTTCGACGTGCGTAAAGTAGAGGAGAAGGAAGTGCTCTCTCTAACCAGCTTGCTTTCACAATCAGGGGGGTTATTCTCAATCTGGATGGGACTGTCCATGATTGCGCTAGGTGAAGTTGCTGAATTATTGATCAGCTGCTACGTAAAAACTAAAGAAGTGAAAACGTTGAGAGAAGACGTAAAGAAGGAAGTTGCGCTGACACAATCATCAACGCAGTTTGCGAATGATGACATTGATAACGGACTCACGGATCTGTTGTCCAATGAGAAGGTTAAATCTACATACAAATGCAGGGAGAATCACATGTTGTGGATGAAATTACTCGCTTGTATAAGACAGGTTCAAATGCAACAGCTAAACAGTGAAATACATTGTTCCGTTGGCCAAACAGGAACACCGAGTACTGAAAGTATGCGACCTTCTTTAGTCCCCAACTGTCGGAATCATGAACACACTAGAATTAATGACCCTGATGAGGTCCGGTTTACGACAGATTGTGATAACCAACTCTGGGAACTTCGTGAATGCTGTGTTATCCGAGATTGTGCTATGTAATTAAATATTACCCTAAACAGTTTCCTGAGATTGCCCAAGTGACAAACCCCACCCTACTTGAATAAATATTTTATGATTACTTTTGCGGTGCAGTAAATCCTTCTTTTTCTTACAATGTGCCACTGTGACACCACACCGCAGTACGGCGCGCATGTATTAAGCCTAACTATATGGCATGCAACTCATATGAAACAAAGGTGGTGAGGGCTTAGTAAGGAATATATTTAGTTTACATAGCACCCAAATGCTAGTGTTAATTTGTGCATTAATTGCGGCTCATACGATCTCAATTAGTAGCTTTTTCTAAAACGTTCTACAAACAATTTAAAACACTGGCAAGTCTAGCTCTATGCTCAGCCTACGGAAAATCAGAAATTGGCTCGATTGTTGAGGAAGTGTGTACAACACAACTGCGCAGGCAGATCAGTGCTCAGTAAGAATTGTCATAGTATCACGTGGACTAATACGTGTGACAGATAAGCTGATGTGTATTTTAAGCTTAATGTGTTTAACCGCGTCATACTCGATCCATACAAAGGACTAAATTTATAACTGTTAACACCATTGTTGTCTATTTAACTATTTTTATGCTATTACGTTTAGAAAACGTATACTCGGTTTTTGAGTATACTATGCTGCTTTGCCTTACATATCTACCGCATTAATTAATACTAGCTCGTATAACACATTGTAGTAGCAAGAAAGTAACCCGCATTTGCCTCCCTGGGAGGCAGATTGATCAATGTTTTGAACAGACGGTAGCCATCAGTTGCGCATTCCAATAATTTAGGCCATAACTGCGAAAATTAACAAATGTTACCATATCTAATTTCAAATGCTTCAGTAATAAAATGGTAAAATGTTAAGATATATAGCTCTAAAGGAACAGGCAAGTCATTTGAAATCCAAATACGTATGCCTACTATATCAGAGTTGGTCTAACGATAAGGATACTTTCTCATCCATACATGGTTGGTACACACGAACTTTGACAAATATTTACAGCGCATTTTGCATTGATCGAATAGCTTGAACTACAGAATAGTTACGGTTGCTCCGGTGAAAGGTAGTCTTTAGTATGAAAAACCCCTGATTATTATAATCACAAACTCCGTTTTCATAATATCCAAAAACTGCTTGATATTCGTCTGGAATATTGCCAAACGCCAAATGTCCACGTGAAGAGGAATATGTTATTTTTCAGTGGATTACTGGAATTAGATGGTTGCATTCTTATTTAAAGACAGCATTTCTCCCCAGTTGCACCTGGTTAGGATAGCTGGCTGAATGTTTGAAAGATTTATCAAGCAGGTGAGGAAACGTCTGAACGCAGTTAGACATGGATTGATAAAGTTTGGGTCAAGTTTAAGTGAAGTGTTTTATTGAGATTACTGCTCATGGCGGGCCGGATCCGGCTCCTGAGGTTAGTTCATCCGGCTTGCCAATGGTACTCGAATTGGAGCACGCCCTACGTAACTCAGTTTTTGATATTCGTGTAAACGCACTTACCAACACTTTGTTGCAGGACCCCATTTAGAATGCGCGCATTCGATACTACGGCCGCACAACCACTTGACTACATCATGTCACATAGCATTTTCGACAAGCTGAGTGATACTCAGCGTGTTATCTACTCAGAGGGACCGCTGTGCCACACTTCTCACAGTGAGCTAGAAAATTCTTGGCACTCTATTATCCTGAAAGCCAGCTAGACCCCACTTACCTGCATATGACACGCAGTCGTTTCGTTCACACAGGCACAACGCTCCGTGGCTTTAATGCGGCTGTCCTCATTGATTCGAGTGACACATACCCAAGTTTTGCCCTGGCGTATTAACTTGTAGGAATACGACGTGTGTTGGTGAGTACGTCACGGCCCCGTGGTTGAGTTTTCGAGCCAATGATGTTCACGAGGAGTTTAACCTCGTCAATACAATGGGAGCACGCTATAGAAGTCTCAAGGGAGGTGACATATTTGATAATTGTGGAGACGGTGAGCGGTTCAGAGTGCACGTGATAAACCAGATTGGCCAAATCGTTGGATTTCGATTTCGGTCTGCTTCGGTGTCACCTCTAGATGCCACTCGCAGAATCGCAGTAAAAAGTACTCCCACTGGCTGTTTACTTAGGCCGACTTAATTCATCTATTTGCAGCACTCATTAGGTGGCACCTTAAACCCATAAATCACTTTCGATAAGGTTCCCGTGCGCTTTTGGTGAGCCATAGCTTCAGCGTGGACCAGTAAGTACTTGTTTTTCTTGCGTCGCAATTCAATTCATTTCACGTTTTCAACTCCCATTTACTGCACCAATAATTATGGCTGCAAGCAAGTGAAAAGTGGACACCAAATATCGCTTTTTCAACGAATTATCTGTAGTGAAATCTTATTCGTTGAAACTATGGACCTTAAAATCAGCTGCGCAATATACGACAAAAGCGTTACGGTTTTGAAAGAGTACAACCTCCAGTGTCTTTAAAAACGAAACTGCAATCAGCATAGTTGACTTTTCGAGGAACCAGTCCTAGGCGAAAAATGAATCCATGAAATTTGATTTAGAAACACAACTAATTTTCTTCATAAAATCAACCACTCATGCACTAATTACAAAATAGTGCAACAACGGCAGAAGGAGGAAAGTCGTTTACCGATGACAACTTAATCAAGGTGTATTATGGAAGCTATAAATGATTCTTGTCCTGAGAAAACTGATGTTTGCCATTGTGTGCTTTTCGGAAAGTTTAGTTGTGCCGAGAATACAAGAACTTGGAGAAAACATAGTGTTGAGGACTGAAAAATTTTACGGTATTCTGTGGCGCCGGATGAGTCTACTGATCTCTAGTGCATGTCGCAACCGCTCGTGTTCATTTTCGATATCAATTCGGTGTTTCATTTGACGGAGTTGTCGTGAGCAGTGGGCAGCATGCATGGAACGATAACTAAAAAGAACCTTTTCGTGGAACTACATATAATTTTCCAAGACTAAAACCTCCAGTGAAATCGGCTTCGCGTCGTCACGAATGATGGTGGAAACTACATGGCTAGAGTGAGGAGAGCACTAGTAGGGCAATCAGTATTCGACTGGCAGATTTTCATATCAGGATCACTCTGTTCATACACATCAACGCGCGGCCAGCGGGAAAATTTTGGATATTGCTTGTGTACTGAAGGCGGACGTTCCAACTGTTAATTTTATTCAGCGACATGCTCTCAATCACCGTCAGTTCCACTCTTTTCTGAAGGATACTGAAAACTGATTTCTGCGTTTTGTCATATCACAAATCAGTGAAGTGGCTCAGTTGCGATAAGGTGCTATTTCGCTTTTAAAAGTTCCTAAACGAAATGATCGTCAAACTCACTGAAAATGATAGAGCTGACTTACAGCCGTCAGATTGTACCTGGATATAAAACTCAGCATTTATGATTGATATCACATCCCGGGAGAATGACCTGAGCTTGAAACTGCAAGGAAAAGAAGAACTCATTGTTGGTTTCTACAGAATCATCAACAGATTTCGGAAAATAGCTTTGCTGAACTCACTACAGGAAGGAGAAGGTTTCGCTCATTTTCTCTGGTTCAAATAGTTAAGCGTTCCATACACCAAAGCTGTTTCTATGGTTTTCCGATAAAATTATTCGTGACCTGTGGAAGCACATTTTAGAGAGCTTTTGAGGTCTTAACATAATTGAGAGCAGAATCGCTCTGTTCTAAATAATATGTGATAGCAGCATTGATAATGTTGTAGTTGGAGCTAATTGATTTGCAGGCAAATGAATTAGTGAAAAAAATCCCAGGGGAGGTAAGCTTATTGGATTTCGTAGCTGCTCACCTGAAGAATTTTGTCGTTGATGTGATATCAGCGTTTGAAACAATTTATTTCTGTGAGCAAACATTCTCAACAACAAAGTAGGTAAAGTCAACTCATCGAACGAGATTAACCGATGAAAGCTTGAAGGTAATACCCATTATTAGATGCAATTATTCCAAGCGAAATAATAATGATACTTTGAAAGTCAATCAACAGTTTTCACGCCAAATTAATAATTTTGTTGTTTACTTTGCGCCATCCGGAAGTATGCACTAGACGTCTTGTGGACCTTGTTGATACTTTTTCTAATTTCGATTGGTCTCTGTTCATTTGTACATTGTACTTCACCCACTCATGTTTACCATGAAGTGCTGAACATAGTTTGTTCGATTTTGTTCAGAGCTTGCTTTTGACCAGCAAATATTGTTAAAGGAATCTAATCTGCCCTCGGTCGTCATTTTTTGTTAACCTGGCTCGACGTGAAATAGTTTGACGCACCCCGGCTTAGACGAAAACAAAATAAACGAAGATAAAAATTGGAGTGTAGACAATTACGGTAACAGCTGAAAACGTGTAATCCTGGTGGACTTACTTCACAAGTACTGCGTGTGCCACACCGTTGAAGTTGGGATAAGCGCTCTTAGTTTGCAGCAAATCCATGCGACCAGCTACTTTCGACCCAAATCACAGAACTCAAGTGTCCAATTAGCATAATGTTCAAGTCGTGGCACTGGAAATATGTATGAAAACCAACGGGTGCATAGAAGTTTTCTTTCCGCTGATCACATTTGATGTTTTTTCTATTGTATGGTTGGATATTTGACTTGGAATTCACTGCGTTGTTATATCTATATTATTTAAAATTAAATTAGACAGCCGCTGCTTGCAAGCTAGCAATGCAAGTAAACCGCAAAAAACAATGGTATTAATGTGAGAGCACGATGCAGTGCGAAAATTTTGTATCAATAAATTAGGCAAGGCGTTTGAATGAAGTAACCATAGAATGCCTGTCTGAGCTGAACGTTCATGCACAGCCATAAAGCTTGTAATGAGTTGACTAAACCGCCTTCACGTCGTGTTGGTTAGGATGATTGAAACCACAGACATGTTTAGAGGTTCTGCGTGGCAAGCCCGAAAACTTGACTGTAAGCGAATGATTGAGCAATACATTTTTGATATTAGTTCCGTACAA